ATAGTTTTTAACCTTTCTATATTACCCTTTTGACCCATAGGTTCCCTCCTTTTTAACCACACTTTTAACTTTTTTTCTGATTTATTCATTTTAAGTGCTTTGTGTTTTTTTTTTTTTTGTGGTCATAAAACCAATTGTTTAAAGGATCACTATGGGGTCAGGAACACAAACATGTATTCCTGACCCCATAGTGTTAAAACCACTATCTAGCTCTCTGGGCCCCTCATGCCTCCATAAATATAGCAAACTCTTATGATATTCAAGCCTGAAGCTGTAGATCTGCATGCGGTTTGCCTCAGAAAAACAAGCTGTCTGCTGGCATCATCAGAAGTGGCGGCCTGATCCAATCATAATGCTTCGCCATAGGATTGGCTGAGACTGACAAGGAGGCAGGTCAGGGGCAGAGCCAGCATGATTCAAACACAGCCCTGGCCAATCAGCATCTCCTCATAGAGATGAATTGAAACAATGAATCTCTATGAGGAAAGTTCAATGTCTGCATGCAGAGGGAGGAGACACTGAATGTTGGGATGCATTTTAGGCAGCCATGACCCAGGAAGGATCTCTAACAGCTATCTGAGGAGTGACCAGTGAAGTTATCAGTAGGCTGTAATGTAAACATTGCATTTTCTCTGAAAAGACAGTGTTTACAGCAAAAAGCATGAAGGTAATGATTCTACTCACCAGAACAAATTCAATAAGCTGTAGTTGTTCTAGTGACTATACTGTCCCTTATTGTATTGTATTGTTAAATACACCAATACGTTTGTGCATCATGGTTAGACATTCCTGTCTTGCATCTGAAGCTATTTTTTGTTGTTTTATTTTTATCAAACTTGCATTAGAAGAGCTGCATACCTGTGACCAGTCCCCCACCCCCAACAACTATTAAAGATGCTCATTTGTACAGTAGTTTTGGTCTGAGTACACAAAGAAATCAACCAACACCCCAAATAAGTTGTATGGAACATTTTCTATGGATTGTTCTTCTGTGACTGTGGCGAAGAAGGCTCTTATATTCACATGTAAAAGACCTGCCCTCTGGTTGTTCAGGTTTGGAGCTGGGTCTTTTGGGAGATGGCAGTGGCCCTCAGATGATCTTGAACTCAATCCTTTGTCAGCCTTACATCAGCACCTTTAAAACTCCTAGAGATCTAGCCCCTCCTGCTAATAAACCGATTTTCTGGCTATACACAGCAAGTAGACTGCTGCTCGGCCTGGGAAGCTTCCCTGCATTCTCATTCGGAGATTGTGAGGAAGGTTCAATTTAAATTGATAATGGTTAAAAATCCCAGGTTCCTTGCACAGAGCCTCTTCCGAACTCCACCAGTATTGGAATGTCTGGCTTGAGGCATATCCAGGGGAGGGAGTCCTCACCCTCTCCTGTTCCCTTAGGACAGCTTTCTCTTCCTCTCATCTCCTGGTTACCCATTATGAAAAGGTTTGGAGTGAAGTTGACTTTTGTTCAACATGACTGGGACTCTCTTAGATTAACTGCGATGCACATGCACCTATCTGGTTGTATTTGCTTCATTGAGGGGCTCATTGTTAGGATCTTTGACATTAGTGGTCTGGCTTCTCTATAATATTCTCATAATAGGGGAGAGTATTTTAATGTGGTGAAATCAGTGTATGGTTTTGTAAAACAAAATTTAGAACAGGCATATTAAGCTATATAAACTTTGTTCTATTTTATTTCACCCTTGAGATAATATTCAGTAGTGCAATAGTTCAGTTATTATATTTGTGTTCTAAAAAAAAAAAAAAAAAATGTAATTTGAAAAACGTAAGTTTTAACCTCTGAATGAGGAGTTAAAGATCCCCACTGCTTCCTTCCTCAATCACCGGGCCTGTGGGATCGGGCAGTACTATCTTGCAATAGGCACAGAATGCAGTTAAGCCAACAGCAAGTTAAGACAGCACAGAAAAACTGGCAGTATAGAAATCCTTTCATTGTAAAGTGTATTTTTGACAATACCCATAGTTTTAATGATGTTCTGTGCATAAATGTTAAATATAAAATACTGCTAATATATACACCCTCCATGACTCCTCTCCTGCAACTGTCAAAAATTACCTACTATATCCCACTCCCTCTAGAATGTAAGCTCATTGACCAAGGCCCTCCACTTCTCTGTTCCTGTACGTCCAGTTGTCTGGTTACAATTACATGTCTGTTAGTCCACCCACTGTACAGCGCTACGGAATCTGATGGCGCTATGTAAATAATAAAAATATGTAGCTATGCATAATACTCTTCCACAAATTAAAAGTATTGATTTTTGTAAAATGAATCTTAATTCTGTCTACAGACCCATGCACATACTCACACTTGGTGAGCCATACACAGTCATTGACCAAAATATCTCTGCCCTATGCAAACACTTCACAGTCCCATTAACCCTTTTGTCTCTAGTCAGTTGCTCAGATGTCTTCATCTAAGGACACAAGCAATTTTTGCGGTTTGTGTTCAACTGCAATTTGCATCTCTCTCATTTATTGTACCAACACATATTGTATACCTTTTTTAGACAACAAAAAGGGTTTTAGTTTGATGTGACACATTTATAAATTCTCATTTATTACAAAAATAATGGGGGTGCTCCCCCCCCATATTTTGTCAATAACAACATGTGCATAATATGTCCAACTTAGGAAAAGTAATCCAAATAAATTCATTTATGTGTCTTGATTTACAAAGTACATAATATGTGTAGGATTTCAGTTTATTTTGAAAGTTACATGTCACTAACTACAAGGTCTAAAAAAAAAAAAAGAATTTCAACATGAAACAATTTTAGAAGTTGGTAATTTTGTCTTGGGAGTTTAATACCCATTACAGAAAACAAAATTGCCACCAAAAAAAAAATATATTTATATAAAGTAGACATCACAGGCTACTTACCTAAGGTTATTTTGACACTTTTTGTGTACCCATTTCACCGCCAATCTCTGCTAAATATTGGAGTAAAATTTATTTATTTTCCTCTATTTTGGCATATACACATATTACATGGTTTTTGTAATGTGTATTTCGTAAAGCTAGTGTGTGCGATCCCTGTACAGAACCCCATATTCAGCTACATCTGCGGAATACAACAATACCCCCATTGTATACCTTTGCCCCTATTTTGTGAAGCTACAATGCCATATAGGAGACCATGCTATTTCAGTTGCTATAGTTGGAATTTTCATGATGGTCATATGTCTGATTTTGTGGCATTATAGCCACGCGTCTGTTGAAATAACCCCACAAAGGCCTTCCATTTGAGAAAGCAGACACTTCAGGGTATCTTATTAGGCATTATATTATATATAATTTATTTCAAATTTTGTGGTGAGAAAAAAAAAACAAAAACTTTTTTTAAATACATGTTGCATTTTCGCTGGGTATTTTGTACATTTGATAAGTGCCACTGTCATAAATTCCCCCTAAGTATTCTCAGTTACCTCTTCTGAGTAAAACAATAAGCCAAATGTATGACCTGGACACTAATTTGTGAAGTTACAGTACAGGTTTTTAAGTGTGAATTTACATGGAGTTACCTATGCAACAAAAATTTAACCCCTGAGGATTAAAAAAAAGTTAACCCTCAGGGGTTAAAAGAAAAAAAAAATCATCACAGTGAAATCCTGTGGTCTGTATTTTGATCACTGCAGACAGTGATCAAAGGGCAGAGAAAGGGTTAAATTTTACTTGAAAGAGGTGAGAGGGGGTGGGATTTTATTGCTAACACTTTTTTTCCTTGCAGAGAGAAAGATCAGCACCGACCTGTCTCTCTGCACTTCACAGCTTACATGGAGCTGCATGGAGACCAAATTGGGTTTCACTGCAGCACGTGTGATCGCCTCCGACGCACTACAGGAACATTAACCCCGCGACTGTGGCAATCTGGGGTTAATTTTAGTTTAGGAGGGAAATTTTTCGTCCAACGTCCTTAAGGGGAGTGCTACAATCACGGAAAATTTCCGTCCAGCGTCCTTAAGGGGTTAACATTTATCTACAAAGTCCTTAGACAGTTCTGGGCACCAATACAACTTGCATTTCATAGGTTTTAGCCTCATTAATATGCTGTATTTTTTGCATGCTCAAATCTGCAAAACTTTCTTGCTCAAAAACTATTACGATTTGAGCATGCAAAATTCAAAAATATAGCACGTTAATGAGTTTAAGATTTATAATCTCCAGTCGAGAGGCAGGGCACCAGCATTGAGCTTTGTGCACCGTAGGATATAATTCAAGTCCCTTTTTTTTTTTTATATAAATTTCCAACGCTCACTAAATAGCGAGAAGACTATATAGCATTAGTAATGTATTTTTATTCCTTACCTAATGTTCCATTAAATAATATGGCTTTAAATCCAGTGCCTGGCACTTTTATTGTGATTTGCAGATCAATTTGGGCAAGTTAAGGTCACAATCCTGACACTTATTACAAGTGACCAAGCACTGTGAAACAAGTCTGATATTAAAATGGCACTATGGAATGTGTTCCTGCCATGGACTGCAACTGTATAAGCCAGATTGCGTAAAATAGTTGTACCTTTTGGTGTGATGTGCAACATCCTACATTTAGAAGAAAAACAAACAAAAAACAAAACCCTCCCTATCTGAGGGATTAATTGCAGCTTTATAATACCGTATAACTAAAAAAAGAATGGATTAACATTCCCCTCTTAACCCAATAGAAAGCCTTTGGATAGCAAATACAAAAAGGAAAACTTTATTTACTTGCAAGTGTAGAAGAGGTACAGTTATAAATGTTACTGTATGAAACCGCTATAAAGCATTCTGAATAGCCATTAAATCTTACTACCGTGGAGAAGGTCATGGGAAATAATGGACCATGTCAAAATGTTCCCGTTGCGCTGTCATCCAATGATGCAAAGGCGCACTATTGAGGGTCAAAGTGACAGATCTAGAGAAGTTTAAGAATACCAGAAAACAATTGTACCAGACACTGATTGCAAACAAATGGCCCAGTTAGATTTTACATCTCAGTTTGCTTGTCATCAAACTTTAACAAGCGCCTGCAGTTTTTTCAGGTCAATTGAGGTAAACACCCCCCTCCCAGCCATTTCAGACCTTTAGAGCTGAGTGTAGGATGTTTACAAAAATGAACCCTGTATGTCGTCACAAATACACCCACCATGACAAGATTGCCCAGATTTTCAGGTCTTGGCATGCATTAGCAAAAATCAATCAGTCTGGCAGCAGATTACAAATTCAAAGGTGGAGTGTGCACTATTTACATGTCTTTTTTTATAAAGATTTTCAGCAGACTAAAATTAATTTGTTCATTATAAAGCTGGCAAAATAGAAGAATGCACCGATTTTTATATGGACGTTGCCAGATGTAAAGATTTTGCACTAACTTAACTGGGTTGAAAGGGAGACAAAACACACACACCCATACCACACACTTGCCAAAATTAGAACAGTGGAGGAATTTATTTTATATATTATTTTTATAGTGCCAACAAATTCTGTAGCGCATTACAATGGGAACACATACATATACACACAGTCCTAAAAGATTTCCGTAATTTCCTGGTAAGTAACTACAGATCGATCAAATCACGATTTGATACAAACAAGGAATCTGTAGATATGATTTTCTAAAAAAAATTTATTTAAAAGGTCCCTCTATAATGAATCAAAATTATCCTTTGGAACTTTATATATTGGACAACAGATCTCACAACACTTGGCAAGACTAATGCAAGAGTGTAGAAGAGATTAGCAATCAACACATACAAAGAAGCTGTCATTATCTGAAAATTATATATAATTTTTAGAAAAACCCAAAGACTTGCACATAACTATAGGCATAATGAGACCAGTGCAGAGGGTACATTTTCTGCATATTTGAATGCTACGAGCGAAACTGAAAATCAGATCTGACTGCCGACATATTCTCCACGTAGTCTTGTTTTTCAATCCCTATTGGTCACTGAGGGCGTTCAATCATGGAAATGCAAAATGGCCACCTCCACAATAAAACCAGACCCTTCGTGATGGTTAAAAAAAAGCTGGATTACATGAAAATATTTACTTATTAGCAAAACGGTTTAAAAAATATGCTCAAGAAGAGATTTTCATGGGACTGTAATACTTAACGGTGGAATTTGGAGGAAAAATGAAAAATAAACAGGTAATTAATATTAGCATTAAACATAGCATTGCAAAAGGTTTGCAAGAGGTGTAATGATATGGACATGGGGTAAAATGTGCAGCTCCATGAGCAGAAAAAACATACAAATCTGATACAATTATATACTCATATTATCAGTGTACTTTAGATGCCCTTCTGCATGCACAACTAGATGCAGACAAAAAGTTTACATGTAATAAATATTTAATACAGTTACAATAATGTACAATGGCTAGAAAAATACAGAAGGAAAAAAAATCCCAAAAAAAAACAATTCCATGAAGACACCATAACTGAAGAGCTTGACTTTTTATAGCCGGTCGCAGCAAACATCAGACTGAAAGCTCAAATTGGTCTCAAAAGCTTCCAGTCGGGGATGTTTACAGCAACAAACTACGCATACACAACGCAGTGTCACGTGACAGCTTCTAAACCAACAGTGGAAGGCACCTATAAAAACAAACAAAAAAATTGCGTAAATTTAAAAGCAACAAAAATGCAAGCTATATATTACAATATCAATATTACAAACTTTAAATTAAACCCCTTCCCCCCAAAAAACAAAAACTAAAACAAAATTAGTAGCTATACATAAAAATTGGAGGTATAAGTCCCCTTTCTAGAACTCCCTTATTTATCAGATTAAGTACATATTCAAAAACATATTCCTGAATGTCTTATTTAAACTACTAGATCTGGCAATCTGTGGACTACTTTTACGATACACAGAGTCACAATATTAAAGCCACCTGCGTAATATCATGCAAGTCCCCCTCATGTTGCCAAAACAGCTCGGATGCGTCAATGTCCTGTGGTACCTGGCCCAAGGATATTAGCAGCATATCCTGCAAGTGGCGAGAGGAAGCTTCCATGGATCAGATTTGCTGTTCAAGCACATCCCACGGACGCTCAGATTGAGATCAACACCTTGAACTCTGTCATGTCCCTCAAACCATTCCTGAACATTTTTTGCAGTGTTGCAGGATGCATTATCCTGCTGAAAGAGGCCACTGTCATCAGGATGTGCACCATTATCATACATTTGCAACAGGGTTGATGTTCTAGGAGGGAGAAGCCAAATGATTTAGGTAAATTAGAAAAACAGTCAGAGCTGTGGTAACTGACATTTAACGTGGATAAGTGCAAGATAATGCATCTCGGGCATGAAAACCTAGCATAGTATAGAATATTTGATAGAGTCCTAACCTCAACATCTGAGGAAAGGGATTTAGGGGTGATTATTTCTGATGACTTAAATGTAGGTAGACAATAGAGCAGCAGGAAATGCTAGCAGAATGCTTGGTTGTATAGGGAGAGGTATTAGCAGTAGAAAGAGGGAAGTGCTCATGCCATTGTACAGAACACTGGTGAGACCTCACTTGGAGTATTGTACGCAGTACTGGAGACCGTATCTTCAGAAGGATATTGATACCTTAGAGAGAGTTCAGAGAAGGGCTACTAAATTGGTTCATGGATTGCAGGATAACACAAGGAAAGGATCTTAACATGTATAGCTTGGAGGAGACAGGGGGATATGATAGAAACATTTACATACATAAAGGGAATCAACACAGTAAAGGAGGAGACTATTTAAAAGAAGAAAAACTACCACAACAAGAGGACATAGTCTTAAATTAGAGGGACAAAGGTTTAAAAATAATATCAGGAAGTATTACTTTACTGAGAGGGTAGTGGATGCATGGAATAGCCTTCCAGCTGAAGTGGTAGAGGTTAACACAGTAAAGGAGTTTAAGCATGCGTGGGATAGGCATAATGCTATCCTAGACTTAAGATAATGCCAGGGACTAATTAAAAGGTATTTTTAAAATTGGGCAGACTAGATGGGCCGAATGGCTCTTATCTGCCGTCACTATATTTCTATAGAGGGGTGTACAT